AGTACAGTATAAAGTACAATATGTACCTCTGAGATGGAGTACAGTATAAAGTACAATATGCACCTCTGAGATGTAGTACAGTAAAAGTACAATATGCACCTCTGAGATGTAGAGAAGTAGAAGTAGTAATAAAAGGAAACACGTGTACTGAATATATTATATTAACAGCTGACATGCTGCTTTACAAACATCCAAAGTCACTACTGAACTAATTCAAATGAGTTTGTTAATTGAAAATAATAATACATTAACGTTACATGACGTCAGCTCGGGTTTAACAGGAGACAAACACGAGTTTAAACTAAACTTAAACTCACAAAACGTTAACCGTTAACTACATATGTTCACCTACCGTGTTTCCAGACGACAGTGATCTTTTAGGAGAACTAAACTTGTGAATGAATCGGTGGAGATGTTTGAAGCTAGTCCGCAAGGGGAGCGCCATCTTGGATTGTGACCTCACACTACGGTGGCTTTGAAGGGACAAACACGAGAGCTGCGTTTTGCAAATAAATTTAATAGGGATAACTCCTTTGAGATGTACCATCTCGTTTTCGAGGGGGGTAGAATGCGATGAAACATTAAATACAAATAAAAAATAACAACAAGCTAAATTAACGATACCAAATATTACAACACAAAATAAAAAAAATTAAATACAACTTCTAAAAAATGAAATAATAAGTCAAATCAGGAGGTCATACTCCAGCAGAGCATGAAAATGGATCATTCTTTCATAGGTTATAGAAAAGCATTAATGTCAGTGACAGCATTCAGTAATATAATAATGATAATATATAACAATAGAGATGTCATTATGCATTATGCAGTACTATACTACTAAGAATCTAAAACTGGCTACACATTGATGAACTATGTATTAAAATGCTCTTAATGTTTTCTTTAGTGATAAAAACAAAAAACAATACAACCCTTTAAAAGGAGCCACAATGAGTGCCTATACTTTTTTACATTAAGTACATTATAGTATCAGCATTTTGTACTTCATGTAAAAAAATACATTATGCTGATACATACACTTAATTAAGCAACATATTGAATTCAGGACTTTTATATGTAATGGCATAAATTATGGTATTTCTCCTTTTACTACAGTTACATATTTAATATAATCATAAAATTATGAAATATTTACAAGTGTTACAAAAATCAAGAAACATAGATATAGAATAGAAGAATATTACAATAAATGTGGAAAAATACAGTGGAATTATGTGTTTTTTAGAAGTTGTAGTCTGAAAGCGCAGATCGACACGTGTGGAAAGGTTCACGGCACAAAGCGTAAAAAGAACATTCAGAGATTTAATCCCAAATGTAACGCATAGACACAGATGTGAAGACATGAATGTGATGTGAAGAGTCTCTGGGAGGCGATAAGAGTCACACGGGAAGAACCTGACGTGAGCTTTTGGTCCTGATGGACCGCAGCCTCCTGCCAGAGGGGAGGGAGGCAGAGAGCTTGAGTCCAGGGTGGGAGGGGTCCGCCATCCACCTATTCATGAACCAGGAATTATGAAGACCGCAAAAACCCACACAGGGCAGGTGGGCAACTTCTGTATATAAGTAACGCCACTTCCGTAGATATTTTAACCCAAACACTAATCTTTTCCAAGATCTAACTAAATCGTTTTTTTACCTAAACTTAACTCAGTATTTCACAATCTTTTGCTAAACCTGACTCAGTATTTTAAGATCTTTTCTTAAACCTTAAAATTTGCTTTTTTTGCCAAAACCAAACTGAGTTGTTTCCTGTGAAGACGGGTGATTACTTTAAAAAGACTGTATTCATGTAACGAGTGTAAATTGACGTGTGATGCTGGAGCAGTAACTTTTTCTGGTAGGATTTCATAGGAACCGTTGAAGTTGAGGAACTCGCACTCCGTCCTTGCTGAGCTGAACACCAGCTGCCTGCACGGCTCTGCTTGCATGTCTGAACCCTGTGCAGCCTATATGGAAGAGGAAGATGTGCAAATTACACCCTCTCCCCCACATGTACAGTAGGCTATAGAAATGTGTCAGACATGTGCGGTTTCCTCGTCGTCTGAGGTCTCCATGTTAATCGGGTGGTGTTGTGTCTAGGCCAACTGAACTTTCCCAGGGAGGCGTGCAGCTGCAGAACCATTCCATACCAGACCTCATTACAGTGGCGATATACATACTATAAGTATAAGTGATTATACTCCACGCTGGGTAGAGTTACAATATGTTTGCAGGGCACGCTGGCCGCTCCTCTTGTTTCTCAGACATCTGCTCCTGATATTTTTTTTCCACCTTTTGCATCTGGTTGCATTTGCAGCACAAAATATCATTCCATATTCATTATTATTTCCCGAGGCGCTGAGGCCGAGCTCTTTGGTGTTTCACATGGGAGAGACCTGAGCCGGGACGTTCTCTCACGCCTGGGTGATGGAAGATCTGGTCGGAGGAGCAGAGACCGACTGCTGGGAGATGGGTTCGTATGCATGCTGGTGTGTGTGTGTGTGTGTGTGTGTGTGTGTGTGTGTGTGTGTGTCCTCAGCTCCTGTTTCTTGGCCACCCAGAAGACGTTGGTCCTCCTGCTCTTCTTTTCTCTCCTGCTTCCTCCTTTCTTCAGTGTGATTCATTTATATATTGTGTGTGTGTGAATATCATGGTACAAATATGTGAGTAATATGTGGAGCAGCTGAGTGACCCTGTCGCCACAAAAAGATGTTTGCACAACCCCGGGATACGCTGAATGTCAACGTTTCTGAACCAAACGCATGTTTTATATATATGTTTCACATCAGCCGTGCAGAAATGCGGCTCATTTTATTTGTATTAATTAAACTTCTGCAGCATGCTGTAACTTTGCACACTGATTGGCTTACATGATTTTTTCTCAGGAAGTGAAATGTGGTTATGAGATTATTTCCAGTCTTTGTCTCGCTGGGACTTAAAGTGTTAAAAAGAAAAAACCTGTCACTCAGTTTGAAGCAGCAGAAGAAGAAACAGTGAACTCAGCAGTGTGATCTCCAGAGAGGAGCGAGAGGCCGTCAGGTGACGAGTGAAGACTTTGTGCTTTCATCACAAACCTGCTCTCCTTTCACCATCAGGGTGATTCATTTTTCTTCCTCATCAGGCTCTCTCACCTCCTGCTACTGCTCCTCCTCTTCATCCTAAATCCTCTTCTCCCCT